GCCACCGCCACCACCCGCTAACCCGCCGCCGCCGCCAGCGGTGGTCAGGAGCATTCTGCTCCTCTACCTCCGTTGGTTCTAAACCTCCCCTGGATCTGCCCCTCTGCTGCTGTGCTCCTCCCTTGCTGTCCTCCACTGCTGCTGTGCTCCTTCCCATGCTGTCCTCCTCTGCTGCTGTGCTCCTCCCTTGCTGTCCTCCACTGCTGCTGTGCTCCTTCCCATGCTGTCCTCCTCTGCTGCTGTGTTCCTCTCCCTTATTATATTGTACTCCCTCCGCCCCAAAATAAGTGTTTCAACTATACACTTATTTTAAGACGAAGGGCGTACAATATAATAAGGGAGACAGCTGAAACCGGCCTTAGTAATTGAGTACTGTAAGTTGAGTACTATAGTACCATGTCGACTAGTCCAGCAGTAGTCTAGAGTAGCCACGATTAGTCTATGAGTCTCAACCTCAGCTCGACTCGCAATTCTTGTGTTGAAGACTGCTGAAACCGGCCTTAGTACTTCAGACAAGAACTGAAGATACTTACACAAAAAGTTGCTACTTTATTGTGTTATCATTTCAAGGACCGTGCTTGTTGTGCATCAATTATATTTTGTTTATTCCCTAGATGCATTCCTGCTTTGTTTTATCAAAGGGGTAAGCATTCTGAGAGTTCTGGGGTGTTATATTCATGGTAACAAAGGTGTTAGTAGGGGTTGCATAAAAAATAGCACCAGAAGATTCATAACCAATTCTCAAAATGATTGCAATGATCATGTTAGTACTAACACAGTTTTTACTGTGGAGACAGCAATCCTCAAAACCTTTAATAAGCTCCCTGCCAACTAGGAGACATGATCCAGTAACTATTGTGCTCCACATATCCACAAGGCAAGTTCAGGACTTCAGGTCACACTAATTTTTGGACAGTAGGCCCATCTACAGAGCAAAATGGTTGCAATGAGCAATGTTGAGAGCTTTGCGACATTCCCAAAACATAGGCACATCCATCTGTTACACGATTTGGAGCCAATGCAAAAAAGGTTAGAACAGTCCTAGATGCAAGGGCCAAATCTCCATCCTAATGTACACTTGAGTGTTAATTATTTGGTATTAAATCAGGACCTGAAGTTATAGAACAGAAATGAAGACCAAAGCTTATGCATTAGGAATAAAATCATAAGAACCTGCAAGGTAATAATGCTCGATTCCCCACAACATTATTAAGAAGCACTGAAATCACGATTACCTTGTTGGCAAACAGCATATCTAGCTTGGCAGATCTATTAGTAGCAGGACCAGGACCATTTGGAGTCTGAGGATAGCAAGTACGAATTGTTCTCACACTGAAACATGAAAATTTTGCATAGTACATATGTTAGTATTTCTATTGTTCTTTTTCAGGGTGCGGGGATGGGGGTTGCATGTTGTAATGACACATACCTGCCAACAGCTGAAAAGATCTTCATAAGATTCTGGTAAGAAGGATCACCAGGAAGATTTTCTGCCACTACAATTCGGGACTACAAGAGAGAGTGAGCCAAATGACTCGGTGTCCATTATCTAATACTCCCTCCGTTCGAAATTACTTGTCACAAAAATAAATAGAGTAATTCCAAACGGAGGGAGTATTACAAAATGGAACAACATATGATGCAGAGACATTCATGAATACCTGGAACTCCTGCATATCAGATTCAGTAAATGGATGTCGGCGTTTTACTCTTTTTCCATCACCACTTACAACCTACGATGTAAAGGTTTTAAGCAATTACATGAATGTACTATATATGCTAAGAATGTAAGTAAATAGTTGCTGATATTTTACTCCTTTCTCTAATGAAAGAGAAGACATTGCTAAAAACAACATGTATGTATCTTTGTAGAATGGGGATTGGATAAACATACAAGTTTTGACGAGGTACGGAGAGCTGCAGCAAGCATTGGGTTATTATGCACTAAAGCTTTTATTTTCTTGAAGCCAGCAATAACTGATATTGGCACTGCATTCAGTGAAAGAACATGTTACTCACCCGATCTCCCCCCCATAATGTCAGTTGGAAGATGCTAAATAACATATTCGTATGATTTGGACCAAAGATGCAAGACGCCCCTTATGACAAATTATGCTTACCAAGTAAGTTAAGCAAATGAAAAAAACATCGTTATAGTGCAGCCAATTTGAATCAGCGTATCTAACAGAAAGCATGTCTACATAGAAGAAACATGTTGACTTCTGTTTCTAGCAAAGCGAAGCAGCAGTGTTGTCCTAAATCTTCCATGAACAGATTTGAAGCAACAGACTACTGTGACTGGTGTTTCTACTCCCAATACTGTGACTGGATTTGAAGCAACAGACTACTGACACAAACACATGAACAGATCCTCTAAATATATATCCCAAGTTACCAAAAAAAGTAGATCCGGGTATAGATATTCAACTCACCATATCCCTGAGGATCCTTGCTAATAAATCTCATCAGATGTTCCGTAGTGGCCAGGTTTATATCACTGAAATAGTATTCCACCTACAATTTCAAACTATGAAGGTTTAGTGGGCAACCAATAATAACTGGGAAACAAAACACCAAGAGGACACTACCATTTGATGGCTACCCTTGTGTTCTTGAGTAAATTAAATTAAACTACCACATTTGGGGCTTGGTTAACGGAATACCACTTTTGAGATTTTTTTTTATCAAAAAACTAGCAGTTCAGGGGCAGAGCATTGTGAATCACACTGGTAATCGTCTAATGACACGTTGACAAAAGTTTCTGATTGGTGCGGTCAGTCTATCAGTGCCAAGTTGGCAAACAAATCGCCACATGGCGGTGCCGACTCATTTCTCCTTCCCAGACCTCCCTCTCCTCTCTCCCTAGGACAGTCCGCTTCCCCACCGTCTATTAGATAATCACAACACGCACCTTGATGCGAAGCATCCCACCGACAGCACCATGGAATCACCGCCAAGCCCAAGTAAACACATGACAAGAGCACGTGCACGAGCTATCAAAACTGAGGTGACTCCACTCCTCCATGAGCTTCCTATGCATTTGAATGAGACATGGCTACTACCTCAATCTGGAACTCTCTGTGTGCTTAGGTACTATGATGATGACACAGAAGAAGTACCAAGGAAGAACCACAACCATAGAACAAGGAATTGAACAAGAAGAAGCTGAGAATCTCTGAAGAGAACCAAGATAGCTCCTACTAACCATGGAACCTTCAAGCCGCCGAACCCTGTGCACTGCGATGCAACATCTGTTAAGCCTGGAAGTACCCCGGAACCTCCTGGACCCGAAGCCTTCGGACAGCCCTAGAACCTTTGGCCTCCCTGGCGCACAGCTTTGCCCACGTTCTATTAAGCCTGGACCCTCCGGCCTGCCTGCGCGCAATGAGAAAGGCCATGTGCCCATGTACCTTTTTCCCCACCTTCTTACCTCTTCATACCTAGACTATATAAACCGTACTCCTTACATCTAGGGTTAGCAAAGGATACAATAAGAGCTTGAGAGAACTTTGCCCAACATACCCTCTCCCCATGGAAACCAAGGCCTCCCTTGTGGAGAAGACTCCATTGGAGTGATCAAGACCTCCATTGGAGAAGATTCCCAAGGTATTCAAGACCTACTCTTCCTTTGGATTTGGGGATGAACTATCCAGGTGTTATTTTCTTTTCTTTGTTTCCTTCTTGGATCTTGAGGTTCCTCTTGTATTGACTTCTGATATGAGAGCATACTTGGTAGTGGATCTTACTTGTGTGTGTTTCCCCTTGTGATTCCATTTGTTTCCCCACTTGTTGATGAGGAACACTAGATGAAAAAAATATATCGTATGTCAGATTTGTTTGGCTACTTCTAGATGCTTCCACTCTAGTGTAGTGCTTCTTTTCTTTTCTTTCTACCCTACCTGCTGTTTCTAGAGTTCTCTAGTTATAAGTAGCAGTGAGTAGAATGGTGAATCCTAAATAATGTTTTATAGAGTGTTCCAGCTATAAGTAGAAGTATGTGAAGGCTTCCCAAAGCCCTATAAATAGAGGTCCTCACCTCTACTTTGTAACCCAGACTATGTACCCACCACCTATAATAGAACTTCTTGTTCTTATCTAAGATCTTGGAGTAGATCTTGTGCCCTAGGAGTTCTGGATTGAACTCTTGCTGCCCTATCGGCCTACATTCGCTTCTAGAGCAATATCTAGCACAGCACGTTGAAGCTGTTCCTTCAACACTTGTGCTGTACACAGTGTAGCAGCAAGGTGGAGTTGCTCCTCCACAACCTTTGTGCAGCTGCAGGTGGTACCAGAGCCTCGTTGATCCATACTAGTTCTTGCTGTCCTCTTCAAGAGCAAGCTGCAGCAAGCAATGGAGCAATTGGAGAAGAGGATGATGCTGCAGAACAACAAATCAAAGAGCTGCGTGAAGATCTTAATCGGAGATTTGATCAGCTGGTTCAGATGATAAGAAAGGGTGTTTCCCCTGCTACCAATGAAGGAGATTCATCTAAAGAAGAAGATGTTCATCAAAGAAGAAGGGAGAGGTAATCTTGGAGCAAGACCGCCACAACAACGTGCTGTTCAACGTGCTTCAAGAAGGCCAATTTATGTTCAAACTTCTGAAGGTGAAGAATATGATGAAGCCCTTGAAGAAGCTGATCTCTATGCATATCGGAGAGTACCCAACCTTACATATGAAGGGATACATACAAGGTGAAAGCTGAGATCCCAACTTTTAATGGAAATATTGATATTGAAGGGTGCCTTGATTGGTTATATGAAGTGGAGACTTTCTTTGAGGTCATGGAGGTTCCGGAAGATCGTAGAGTTCCTTTGGTCGCATACAAGCTGAAAGGAGGAGCCGATGCATGGTGGCACCGCGTTCAAGAAGAGCGCAGGCTGAGAGGAGAACCTCGTGTGAGAACTTGGCGGCAAATGAAAAGTCTTTTGAAGGGGAGATTTTTACCCGCTGATTATGAACAGATCCTATTTATCCAATTCCAAAATTGTGCCCAAGGAAATAGGACCGTTTCAGATTACACAGAGGAGTTTCTAAGGCTGCAAGTGAGGTGCAACTGCCGAAACTGAAGATCAACAAGTTGCAAGGTACATCAATGGTCTCAATGATGCTATTCAAGATCGATTGGTGATGCAAAAAACTGGTCCATTGATCAAGCACAAGCTCTAGCATTGAAGGCCGAGCGGTTTGTGAGAGCAAGAAAGACAACTAAGGCTCCATATCCTCATACCGAAGGTTTGTCTAGGGATCACACTAATAGAGCGGAAGAAAAGACCGCTCCACCAAAGGCAAAATAACCCATCCCGAAGCAAACTAGAGGCAAGGGTAAGGCAAATGAAGGACCAAAGTGCTATAAACGTGGTAAAGAGGGACACATATCCAGTGGCTGTCTGCTAAGAAAATTTGTCAACAGTCAACACAACTATCCATGATGGTGAAGACAATGAGGAAGAATACGAATCTGAAGATGTAGAGGGACAAGAGGTTTGCCAAGAAGAAGGTGAAGAGGTGGTGTGTGTGATTAAGCGTCTCCTATGTTCTACACCACACAGCCTGACGACACACAATGGAAGAAATTATTTGAGAGCAAATGCACGGTGAATGGCAAGGTATGCAAGTTAGCGATTGATAGTTGCAGTTGCGAAAATCTGATCTCCCAGAATTTGGTGAACCACTTAAAACTTGAAACCCATGATCATCCAAATCCCTACACTATTGGATGGATCAAAAAAGGAGTGAATATGAGGATCACCAAACAATGCAACCTGCCACTTTCTTTGGGCAAACATTATCGCTCAAATGTGTTGTGTGACGTGGTTGATATGGATGCCAACCATGTTCTTCTTGGAAGACCTTGGCAATTTGATGTGGATACTACACACAAGGGCGGGGAAAATTCTTACTCTTTCATTTGAAACAAGAGAAAGATCATTATTCTACCAAATAAAACTGATGGTAATATCTCTAAGGAGGAGGGGGAAAGTATGTTAACTATCTCCCACACCTCTAATGAGTTTATCGAAGACTTGAAGGAGGCAGATTTGTGTGCTGCACTTACAGTAAAAGGAGAAGAGCACCCGGTTGTTGAAATTCCAGCAAAGGTACGTGGATTATTGGCAGAATTTCAGAACATACTTGGAGAACCACAAGGCCTGCCACCGATGAGAGGAATTCAACATAGAATTGACTTAATTCCGGGAGCAAGTCTTCCTAATCTTCCACACTATCGAATGAGCCCAAAGGAGCATGATATATTGAAGGAGAAAGTGGAGAAATTGCTACAAAAGGGGCACATTCGAGAAAGTATTTGCCCATGTGCTGTACCAGCCCTGCCCATGCCAAAGAAAGATTGATGTTTGTGCATGTGTACGGACAGTAGAGCCATTAACAAGATCACCATAAGTATAGATTCCCTATTCCCCGTCTGGATGATATGTTGGATCAGCTTAGTGAAGCAAGAGTATTCACAAAGCTAGATTTAAGAAGTGGTTATCATCAAATCCGTATCAGACCTGGGGATGAATGAAAAACCGCCTTCAAGACAAAGGAAGGGTTGTTTGAATGGCTAGTAATGCCATTTGGACTCTCAAATGCACCAAGTACCTTGATCACATTCGGAAGGTGCTAGAAGTACTAAGGGAAAATGAGCTCTACGTCAACTTGAAGAAATGTGTTTTCCTGCAAACACAACTTCTTCTCCTAGGATTCATCATAACATGTGACGGCATTCGTGTTGATGATTCTAAGGTTGAAGCAATCCGAGAATGGACAACTCCGAAGACCATTTCTGAAGTAAGAAGTTTTCATGGCCTTGCAACTTTCTATAGGCGATTTCTGAAGAATTTCAGCCCTATCATGGCACCAATTACCGAGTGTTTGAAGAAAGCGAAGTTCCAATGGACAGAAGCAGCTGAAGCTAGTTTCAATGAGATTAAACAAAAACTATCACAAGCTCCTATCTTGGTGCTACCTGATTTCAACAAGACCTTTGAGTTGGAATGTGATGCAAGTGGAGTAGGCATTGGAGCTGTCCTATCTCAAGAAAGGAAGCCCGTTGCTTTCTTTAGTGAGAAGTTAAGTGAAGCTAGGCAGAAATGGAGTACCTATCAACAAGAATTATATGTTGTTTTCAGAGCGTTGAAAACTTGGGAAGTCTATTTGCTGCCTAAAGAGTTCATTGTTTATAGCGACCTTCAATCCTTGAAGCATTTTAGAAATCAGAAGCATGTTGACCGCATGCTAGCAAGATGGGCAGCATATCCGGAGAGGTTTAACTATCTCATCGTGCATAAATCTGGGACAACTAACCGAGTGGCCGATGCTTTGAGTCGTCGTGCATGCCTCTTGACTTCTTTTGAAGCTGAACTTCCAGGCATGGATCAAATAAAGGAGTTGTATGAGGATGATGAAAACTTTGGCCATGTTTCGGTGAAGCACATCAAGGGCCAGCCATTAGGTGACGACTATTTGGTGCAGGATGGCTACCTCTTCAAAAATGATCGTTTGTGCATCCCAAGGAGTTCTCTGCGTGACAAACTAATTAGAGAACTCCATTCAAATGATCTTAGTGGCCATGTTGGACGGGACAAGACTATCGCTAACCTGGAAGCTCGCTACTTTTGGCCACAACTAAAGAGAGATGTTGTAAAGTTTGTTCAGCGGCGCCCCATATGTCAAACCTGCAAAGGCCAAGTCCAGACCACAGGGTTATACATGCCTTTGCATGTTCCTGTTGCTCCATGGGAGGACATCTCTATGGACTTCGTCTTGGGCTTGCCAAGAACAAGACGAGGAAGTGATGCTGTCTTTGTGATCGTGGACAGATTCTCTAAGATAGCTCATTTCATCCCATGCCGCAAGACAACGGATGCTCATCATGTGGCAAATCTATTCTTTCAAGAAGTGGTCAGACTTCATGGAGTTCCAAGGTCCATCGTCTCAGACCATGATAGCAAGTTTCTTGCTGCATTTTGGCTCACGTTGTGGAAGCAATTCAACACTGAATTATAATTTTCTAGCAGTGCTCATCCACAAACAGATGGACAAATGGAAGTGGTGAACAAGTTTTTGGGTAATCTGATCCGTTGCATTTGTGGAGAAAGAAAGGGGCAATGGGATTTGGCTTTATCTCTTGCAGAGTTCTCCTACAATAACTCCAAGCATAGATCCACAGGAAGGAGCCCTTTTTCCATTGTCTACACTAAAGTTCCAACACATGTGGTGGACCTGGTGAAGCTACCATCAAGGGGAAACCCAAAATCAGCATTGTCCTTTGCCGATAATTACACCGAGTTATTTGAAGAGATTCGCGGTGCTTTGGAAGCACAAAATCAGAAATATAAACAACTTGCGGATTGCAAAAGGAGGCCAAAATCATTCCAAGTCGGTGATAAGGTGATGGTCTACCTCCAAAAAGAGAGGCTGCCTTTAGGTGTTAAAGGGAAACTTAGGCAGCGAAGGTATGGGCCCTTCTCTATCATAAGGAAGATAAATGATAATGCTTACGTGATAGATCTTCCAAGCAACATGGGCATATCCAACACTTTCAATGTTGCGGACTTGACTCCCTACCATCCAGAAGAAGCGCTCTGTGAAGATAACTCGAGGGCGAGTTCCAAACAACCAGAGGAGAATGATGAGGAACACTAGATGAAAAAAAAATCGTATGTCAGATTTGTTTGGCTACTTCTAGATGCTTCCACTCTAGTGTAGTGTTTCTTTTCTTTTATTTCTACCTTACCTGCTGTTTCTAGAGTTCTCTAGTTATAAGTAGCTGTGAGTAGAATGGTGAATCCTAAATATTTTCTAGAGTGTTCCAGCTATATAAGTAGAAGTATGTGAAGGCTTCCCAAAGCCCTATAAATAGAGGTCGTCACCTCTACTTTGTAACCCAGACTATGTACCCACTACCTATAATAGAACTTGTTGTTCTTATCTAAGATCTTGGAGTAGATCTTGTGCCCTAGGAGTTCTGGATTGAACTCTTGTTGCCCTATCGGCCTACATTCGCCTCTAGAGCGATATCTAGCACAGCACGTTGAAGCTGTTCCTTCAACACTTGTGTTGTACACAGTGCAGCAGCAAGGTGGAGTTGCTCCTCCACAACCTTTGTGCTGCTTCACTTGTTCTTCGTGTTCCTCCTCGAATCCCTCTCCAATAGTGAAGGCCGGGCCACCCTAACAGCTTGCCCTCTATCATGCGGTCATCATCTCCATCAACAACCAAGGTCACCTAGGTCAATGCGCCCTAAAGCCTCCGGCCCTACCCTCAAAGCCTCTACCTCCCAGAACCTTCAGGCTTGACAGAAACTTGTGGCTACGAGTACATCACGTGGTAGTTGGCCATCTTCGCCGGCTTCGGACCTCGGACGCCTACAACAATCATGACAAGTATCTCTACATCCCCCCTGCGCGCGCACACACACACACGTCCTTTTTGACACCTTCACCAGAAGCAAGGCCGATAACCTCAGAAGTGTCTACGAGGTATACGTTTTATCCCACAACTTTACCTTCATTGCCATTAACCTCAGAAGTGTCTACGGGGGTTTGCCCTACATCAAATAACATATATTGCTATACGACCTCGATGAAAATATCTCCAGTACAACACTACACCACATAACAGCATATCTATGATAAGACTCATAAGAGATAATCAGAAAGACATAGGGCCCATATATTATGAGAATCTAAGACAAGGTAGACAAGCCCATCAAACTATGAATCAGAAACCATTCCGCACAAATGAAAAAACACCCATGGTAATAATCTCTAGATCATTATCAACCATCGCAAGTAGGTAAAGATCCCTAAGTGCATTGTGCACAAAAGATGAAAATGATGGGCATGGTCAATATTTAGCACAAAACTGGGGTTGAAAATTATAAGAAGAATTTGTTGTCTACCAACCACACCCAATGGCCTGCTTTTGTATATCTAGAGACTGGTAGAAATTAGCAAAGGGGGAAGGTTCTGGAGTTCTGCCAATATATCCCCCCGTTCCGTTCCATGAATCCAGCGTATTTTCAATGTTGGATGCCAACTGCCAACTATCTATTTTTGAAGCAAGCAAGATGAATCAATTTAATGTCTTCAAAATATCCTCACGCACCTCAACTTTGTCTACCTAAATCCCCTGGAGCTATGCAGTCTGACTATCTTTAGCAAGGTAATTATCATGTTATTGAGGTTCGCAGCACATATTGATAGCACGGAATGCAAAAAAATTATGACTGAGGTGGGTATAAACACAAACTCTAGGATAAAAGGGGTGTATGTACTTTGTTTCCTTTTTCCTACTGTCGTGTCTTCATTTTATTTTGTGCAGTAGAAATATTTTACTGCAATAACAATCAGAAAGATACAACCAATTTATTTAAAACAGTTGCCAAGAAAACAGATGGAAATGAGTAACCCAATAGTTAATAAGTACGAAAATGGAGCCAATCCAAGAAATTTGAACAGATAAGTTGATCAGAAAGGGGGCGTTTTGATGCACTGAAATGTCCCAATAAGTCAATCCCGAATCCCTACTTAATGAAGAGGAAGAGCTCCCGCTGGTTACTCGAAAAAGTCACTCCCAGGAAAAAAAATCAGAAGGTATGTATATTACTCACCTCAGCACAATAGCATAATAGTACCATTTAATCCCCTAACCTGACCAGAACAAATCTCGAAAACTACATTATTCAGCAGGGATAACTAGACGCTAGCTGCTACTAACACATCATCATCACAACAGTTGACTGGACTAAAAACCTATCTCAGTCAAAGATATTCCACTGAGACACGATCTCCTAATAAACATCAACTCGGTCCTAATGTATGTGTTCGATCTAAATCCAATAGCATCTACCGGGCAAGAGACACCCACCTGCTTGGTGATCTTCTGCACCACCTCATCAGTAAGCCCGTCCACCGCCGGCTCAGCAACAGGTGGCGTCGCGCGCTCCATCTCCGGAGCTGGCTCCTCGGCCACAAATGCACCGCCAACCCTCACCGGCGCGAAGAACTCGAACGACGGGGGAGGCGGGGGAGCCGCAAAGAAAGCCGCGCGAGGTGGAGGCGAGGGAACCGCAAACACACGAATCACTGCCGGCGGTGGCTGTGGCGGTGGAACCACCGCCGCGACCCGCGGCACGAATTCCGGCGCCTGCGCGTTGAGGCGGCTGTTGGAGCCGCTCCTCTGGAGGCTCCCCGGTCGCTCCGGCGCCTCCACCGCGAACCACCCTGCGGCGATCTGGTCGGGCACCTCCTGCTGCGGCATCAGGGCTAGGGTTTGGACGGCGGCGGTAGTAGCACCGATAGCAACCACTACTAGCTAGAGAGCAAGAGCACAACAGTTGAAGCTTCCTCTGCTAGTAATGGCGGTGGTGCAGGCAGAGCTTGAATAGTGGCGGAGAAGGGATTTCTCAAAGGTAGGGTCCCGCTGAGGTCGGGATATATGCACGGGGCTGGCTCTCGCCGGGTTCTTCGGGGGAGAGGTGGAGACCAGTCGACTGAGGGCCTTGGGTACACCTGGCGTTGGGTGAGATGGAGTAGGAGCCGTCCGATTAGTTTCGAAATTTGTGCTGCAATATGTTGGTGTTGTGGGCGGGAACTCCTAGTCGGCGCCTTTGGCGTCGATAGGTAAATTGGCGCATGTAGGTTTCTTCGTTGAGACGGTTTCGACGCTAGCCCATTCCACTACACGCAGCACAGGAAAAATTCATTAATAGCGCAAAAAATAGCTCTCGTCAGGATTTGAACCACCCTGCGGCGATCTGGTCGGGCACCTCCTGCTACAGCATCAGGGTTAGGGTTTGAACGATGGTGGTAGTAGCACCGATAGCAACCACTACTAGCTAGAGAGCAAGAGCACAACAGTTGAAGCTTCCTCTAGTAGTAATGATGGTGATGCAGGCAGAGCTTGGATAGTGGCCAAAAAGGGGTTTCTCAAAGGTAGGGTTCCGCTGAGGTCGGGATATATGTACGGCGCTGACCCTCGCCGGGTTCTTCCGACGAAGAGGTGGAGACGAGTCAGACGACTGAGGGCCAGACTTGGGTACACCTGGCGTTTGGTGAGATAGAGTGGGAGTCATCCGATTAGCTTCGGAATTTGTGCTGCAATATGTTGGTGTTGTGGGCGGGAACCCCTAGTTGGCGCCTTCAACGCCGATTAGGTAAATTGGCGCCTGCACGTTCTTTCGTTGGGCCGATTTCGACACCGGCTCATTCCACTACATGCAGCACAGGGAGCGCAAAAAATAGCTATCGTCGGGATTTGAACTCAAACTCTCCGCCTCTGGTGCGTGTTGCCCAACCACTAGACCAAACAAGCTTTAATGAATTGTTAGGGCTCAAAATTTTTAAGAAGTAAGTATAGCAACGCTATTTACTGCATATAGAAAATAGAACAACGCGAATTTTGAAAAACAATGTGAAGAAAATTTGAAATTTCGCAGATCTCGAAACAAATCACGAATTTCAAAGAATTTTCATGAATTAGAAAAAAAAGTTCAATGGTTTCAAAAAAGTTCACAAACTTGGAAAAAGTTCATCATTTTTGAAAAAAAAATCATCGTTATTGAAATAGATATATTCAATTTTGAAAAAGTTCATAAGTGTTGAAAAAAATTCATCTATTTTGAATAAAAGTTCATCGTTCTTAAAAAAACAATTTTGGAAAAAGTTCAGCAATTTTGAAAAAAGTTCATCTATTTTCAGTTCAGGTTCATCGATTTGAATAAAAGTTCAACGTTCTTTAAATAAATACGAATAAAGTTCATGGATTTTGGAAAAAATCATTGAATTCAAAAAAGTTCATCCAATTTGAAAAAAGCTCATAGAATTTTAAGAATAGTTCATAGATTTTGAAAAAAAGTTCACTGAACTTGGAAAACAATCATCGAATTTGAAAAATGTTCATCAAAAAATTAAAAATGTTCATCGATTTGAAAAAAGGGTTCATCGGATTTTCAGAAAAGATCATCAAAATATGAAAAAAATCACCAAATTCAATGAAAAAGTTCACGAACTAAAAAACCGCGCATATAAGAAAAAGCAAAGTAAAAGAACAAGAAAAAAAGAGCCTTGATGAAGCATTTCTAATATTATATGTCGATGACATATTGTTGATTGGAAATGATATAGAATTTCTGGATAGCATAAAAGGATACTTGAATAAGAGTTTTTCAATGAAAGACCTTGGTGAAGCTGCTTACATATTGGGCATCAAGATCTATAGAGATAGATCAAGACGCTTAATTGGACTTTCAAAAAGCACATACCTTGATAAAGTTTTGAAGAAGTTCAAAATGGATCAGTCAAAGAAAGAGTTATTGCCTGTGTTACAAGGTGTGAAGTTGAGTCAGACTCAGTGCCCGACCATTGCAGAAGATAAAGAGAAAATGAAAGTCATTCCCTATGCTTCAAACATAGGTTCTATCATGTATGCAATGTTGTGTACCAGACCAGATATGTGCCTTGCTATAAGTATAGCAGGGAGGTACCAAAGTAATCCCGGAGTGGAGTACTGGACAGCGGTCAAGAACATCCTGAAATACCTGAAAAGAACTAAGGATATGTTTCTCGTTTATGGAGGTGACAAAGAGCTCGTCGTAAACGGTTACGTCGATGCAAGCTTTGACATTGCTCCGAATGACTCTAAGTCGCAATCCGGATACGTATTTTTATTGAATGGAGGAGCTGTCAGTTGGTGCAGTTCCAAGCAGAGCGTCGTGGCGGGATCTACGTGTGAAGCGGAGTAAGCAGCAAATGAAGGAGTCTGGATGAAGGAGTTCATATCCGATCTAGGTGTCATACCTAGTGCATCGAGTCCAATGAAAATCTTTTGTGACAATACTGGTGCAATTGCCTTTGGGAAAGGAATCCAGATTTCACAAGAGAACCAAGCACATCAAGAGACGCTTAAATTCCATCTGTCATCGAGTGTCGGAAGGGGACATAGAGATTTGCAAGATACATACGGATCTGAATGTTGCAGACCCGTTGACTAAGCCTCTTCCACGAACAAAACATGATCAACACCAAAACTCCATGGGTGTTAGAACCATTACTTTGCAATCTAGATTATTGACTCTAGTGCAAGTAGGAGACTGAAGGAAATATGCCCTAGAGGCAATAATAAAGTTATTATTTATTTCCTTATTTCATGATAAATGTTTATTATTCATGCTAGAATTGTATTAACCGGAAACTTAATACATGTGTGAATACATAGACAAAATATAGTGTCCCTAGTATGCCTCTACTTGAGTAGCTCGTCAATCAAAGATGGTTAAGTTTCCTAACCATAGACACGTGTTGTCATTTGATGAACGGGATCACATCATTAGGAGAATGATGTGATGGACATGACCCATCCGTTAGCTTAGCATTATGATCGTTACAGTTTCATTGCTACTGCTTTCTTCATGACTTATACATGTTCCTCAGATTATGAGATTATGCAACTCCTGAATATCGGAAGAACACATTGTGTGCTATCAAACGTCACAACATAAATGGGTGATTATAAATATGCTCTATAGGTGTCTCTGAAGGTGTTTGTTGGGTTGGCATAGATCAAGATTAGGATTTGTCACTCCGAGTATCGGAGAGGTATCTCTGGGCCCTCTCGGTAATGCGCATCATAATAAGCCTTGCAAGCAATGTGACTAATGAGTTAGTTATGGAATGATGTATTATGGAACGAGAAAAGAGACTTGCCGGTAACGAGATTGAACTAGGTATGAAGATACTAACGATCGAATCTCGGGCAAGTAACATACCGATGACAAAGGGAATAATGTATGTTGTCATAACGGTTCGACCGATAAAGATCTTCGTAGAATATGTAGAAGCCAATATGGGCATCCAGGTTCCACTATTGGTTATTGACCAGTGAAGTGTCTCGATCATGTCTACATAGTTCTCGAACCCGTAGGGTCCGCACGCTTAACGTTCGTTGACGATATAGTATTATATGAGTTATGTATGTTGGTGACCGAATGTTGTTCGGAGTCCCGGATGTGATCACGGACATGACGAGGAACTCCAGAATGGTCCGAAGATAAAGATTGATATATGGGATAATAGTGTTTGGTCTCCGGAAGGGTTCCAGAATTTACCGGAAGGGGTTCCGGATGTTTCCCAAAATGTTTGGGTATGAGAACACTTTATTTGGGCCAAAAGGGAAAGCCCACAAGGTTTTTGGAAAGCGCAAAAGGAAGTTTTGCGGAGTCCAGGGGCCAGACGCCATGGTCCCTGTCTTCTGGGTCCAGACGTCGGGGGCCAGGGTCCCTATCTTCTGGGTCCAGACGCTGGGAACCCCGGCGTCTGGGTCCAGACGCCGGGAACCCTGGCGTCTGGCCCTGGAGTCCGAGAAGGACTCTTGCCTTTCGGGTGAAACCGACTTTGTGGAGGCTTTTACTCCAAGTTTCGACCCCAAGGCTCAACATATAAATAGAGGGGCAGGGCTAGCACCCAAGACACATCAAGAAACACCAAGCCATGTGCCGGCAATCCCATCCCCTCTAGTTTATCCTCCGTCATAGTTTCCGTACATGACTTCCAGAACAGGATTACCGTACCACTCTGGTGCGGATCTCACTCTGGAAGACCTACGAGGTTCGGTAGTAACTTGATCTGAAGTTTCATGATCATCATCATTAGCTTTCTCATGAATTGGTGTACGAATCATTGGAACTGATTTCTATGATGAACTACTTTCCAATAAGGGAGAAGGTACAATTACCTCATCAAGTTCTACTTTCCTCCCACTCACTTCTTTCGAGAGAAACTCCTTCTCTAGAAAGGATCCATTCTTAGCAACAAAGATTTTGCCTTCGTATCTATGATAGAAGGTGTACCCAACAGTTTCCTTTGGGTATCCTATGAAGACGCACTTCTCCGATTTGGGTTCGAGCTTATCAGGTTGAAGCTTTTTCACATAAGCATCGCAGCCCCAAACTTTAAGAAACGACAACTTTGATTTCTTGCCAAACCACAACTCATAAGGCGTCGTCTCAATGGATTTTGACGGTGCGCTATTTAAAGTGAATGTAGCCGTCTCTAAAGCATAACCCCAAAATGATAGCGGTAAATCAGTAAGAGACATCATAGATCACACCATATCCAATAAAGTACGGTTACGACGTTCGGACACACCATTTCGCTGTGGTGTTCCAGGTGGCGTAAGTTGTGAAACTATTCCACATTATTTCAAATGAAGACCAAACTCGTAACTCAAATATTCTCCTCCATGATCAGATCGTAGAAACTTTATTTTCTTGTTAGGATGATTTTCCACTTCACTCTGAAATTCTTTGAACTTTCCAAATGTTTCAGACTTATGCTTCATTAAGTAGATATAACCATATCTGCTCAAATCATCTGCGAAGGTAAGAAAATAACGATATCCACCACGAGCCTCAACACTCATTGGACCGCATACATCGGTATGTATTATTTCCAACAAGTCAGTAGCTCATTTGATTGTTCCGGAGAACAGAGTTTTAGCCATCTTGCCCATGAGGCACGGTTCGCAAGCACCAAGTGATTCATAATCAAGTGATTCCAAAAGTCCATCAGCATGGAGTTTCTTCAATATGACCTAAACGGCAGTGCCACAAATAAGTTGCACTATCATTATCAACTTTGCATCTTTTGGCTTCAATATTATGAACATGTGTATCATCATGATCGAGATTCAACAAAAATAGACCACTCAGCAAGGGTGCATGACCATAAAAGATATTACTCATATAAATGGAACAACCATTATTCTCTGATTTAAATGAATAACCGTTTCGCATTAAACAAGATCCAGATATAATGTTCATGCTCAACGCTGGCAC